TTTCTGGCAACTAATGAGCGTGCGAGCTAGGTATCGCAGATCAAACATCGCGCATTATAGCCAAGAGGCGCTCGCGCCGGCACACCTCAGAACGAATACGAAGGAGACGGCGGGCGTGGCACTCGGGATGTTGGGGGAGATTCCCACATGGGCCGCGCCCAGAGCATGGCTACCGTACTTTGGCGTACGATTGGGATAACAGTGCTGCAGGCGTACCCCAACAACGCATCGCTACCACCGTTAGCACTGCCGGACCATCGAATTGCCGCCGCTGTCATGCTGTCATTCATGTAGGGACCGGGTGTAAGAGGGCTCCCAGCGCGATAAGAACGGCGATAAAGAAGCAATTCCCAGCTGTGCGACGGCGCACCTTGGCTTCAACAAGCTGACTGTTCGGGCGAGGGAGTTAGGGGGGAAAGTCGGGTACAGAAGTTTGCCAAGATTCGGGAGGATGCAGCGGCGGAACCAAGACTTGCCCAGGCGCACCTAGCGACGCTGGGCTGTTCTAAAAACAGAGCTGCATGCATGGCGTCGACTCGCCAGTGCCTTCTGAATGCGGCAATACTTAGTTGCTATTGATTTTGACGCTGAAGTTTTTCGCATCTTTGCGCTTTTGAGTTTCGGAAATTTTGCGCATGTGGGAGGAATCTGGGGAAGAGATGATGTAATGTGGTAGTCGGATCGGGGCTCCGCCACGCTATCGGATGAGGTAAGCGCACTGGCACAGGCGGATCGTGAGATCTGTCTCACTGGTCTAGCCCTAGTGTAGGCTGACAGAATTCATGCCCTCTGACCGTATCTTCGAGATTAGCTCGAGTGATTTTGCACGTCTGCCTCAGTGTCAATACCCTACTCTCGTATTGCTACTTGGCTTTCCCCGCTCTGCCTCTTCCCCGTCCACTCCCTCTGCCTTTGCCACTCCCGCGTCCTCGTGTCGCAGCCGTCTTCTTCCTTGGCGAGTTCCGCTCAGTCATATCCGTCATATCCGTCTCACCATCGCTTCCTTCGGCAAAGAAGTGGCTCTTGACTTGTGCGTCACTTTTCCTGGCTGCCTTACGCCTCGGCGCTGAACGTGTAGATGGCGGTGGTGTTGGTGGGTCGGAAGGAGCGCCAGAGGGTGTGTCGTTGTCAGACCCTGATTCTATGACCGTAGACTTACGTTTTCGCGTGGAGGCTGTTAGGAGTTTGGCTCCGCGACCACGTGGACGTCCACGACCACGAGTTGAAGATGTGGCGCTCGACTTGCGACGGGTGGATTTTGGTTGAGGCATATCCTCGTCGTCTTCTTCGTCGCTATTTACGTCTTCTGGGGGTTCAGGCTCCTCCATCTCCTCGTCCGCATCTTTATCGGGATGCTCGCTGGATTCGCTGGGCGGCTGCTGAAGCGCCTGCGTGAGGGAGATCGGTGTGCGATATGGACTTTCCGCCATGGGCGCGCGTGACACATCTTTCTTTTCGCCGTGGTCAATGGTTAAATCCCCATGCTCAGGATTGTCTTGACTAGCTGGTAGAAAACCACCAGCCATGTCATCATCGTGGTGTGTACTCTGGTGCGTCCGTTCAAGTACGAAGCCACCGCCAGAATCAGCGCCATCGCCGCGCATGAAGCCGCCCTCGAAATCGGTGTGGTTCTGAAACACTTCCCATTGCGACTTCTTCTCCCCCTTATCTTCTTCGACTGACGCCCCCTTTTCCTTGACTGGCAATTCGACATCCTCACCGTACTCTTCTCGCATTCTTTCGACGATTCTCAGTCCACTCGCAAATTTTCTCCAAAGTCCCAACAGGAACTTCTCCCTCTTTTCTCTCTCTTTTCGCTGTTTTTCCGCCTCTTCGACTTCCCAAGCATCAATGAGCATATCTTCGTGCTCTTGTGCAATCACAACACCGGTTATGACAGGCACAGCGCGTTGCTTTCCAAACTCGAACCCGGTACACGCTTCCGCATGGTCTATGTTGAGTTTGCGACATATGCGCGCCGTACCCCTGAGTGGAACGTGAACAGCGCCTTTCGGCACCATCGTGGGCACATAAACGTCAATGTTTCCGTATGAGTTACGTGGGATTTTGCCGTCAACAATAGGATCAGGAATGATCCAGTCCGTCTGCGCTTTAGAGAAGAGACCTTGTTTTACTTTTTCGCCTTCGAGACGTTCCTGCTCTTCCATCTCGCGTTTACGTGTTACCGTAACAGCCCGCCTGGGTACGAGCTTGAGTGGCTGTTCACCTTCCCGCACCTCTCTGCCTTCTTTGTGCCAGGATTCTTGGGTCTTGCAGTTTACAACGTCCTTTCGCAGGTATACTGGCTCTGTCTTCTCGTTGCCGCTTGTGCCGAAGGTGAAATGTCGAACGATCTTGGCGCCAGGTTTGAGTGCTTCCTCGCGACGCAGATGGCGCTCGAGCACGTATTCAGTGGAGTTCTTATAGCCCTGTAGCGTCTCCTTTCCGCCTTCGTGCATTTCCTTCTTCTTTTCTGGTTGTACCAAGACAAGATCACCTTCATCTTCGACTTCATCCCATGGCTGACGCTTGTCGTGAGGTCGTGCATAGGGGCGCATTTGCGACTTCACCCAGTCCCACTCTTCCCACCGTTTGACCTTGCCGCGTTTGTTGTGTATGGGTATCTTCTCAATAGGCATACGGACACCTCTTGTCCGACCAGGCCACTTGGGTACATATCTTACAGTGACATCCTTTGCTGTGCCGTCAGACGAGAAGGCGATGAAGTAGGCCGATACCTGCCTCGCCCTGTCGGCCGTTCCACCGCGAGCGTAGAACTCAGAGAACTTGTCTAAAGACGCCGCACTCGCGATTATTGCCTTGGGAAGCGGCGAAACTGCTATAGGTGTATGGGTGAGATGAGAAATGGCCTCTGTCCAGTAGGTCGGAAATGGCAGTTCATCGCGGACGTTGCGTGGCTTTGGCTTTTTCTTAGTAGGCCGCTCATCTTCGGATCCCGAAGAGATAGATATGACACTGCTCAGATCGCTGCTATCATCCGGGTCAACTTCGGCCATTTTGCCACCCTTATTCGTAGCGGCGGGAGGTTTTGCTTTGCCATTTGTGGTTGTTGATTTCGAAGGCGTGTTATTGTCGGCAGGTTTTGCATCCTTCAGTTTTTCCAGATTCCTAGGCGTTCCTTCTTCGCTCTGATTCCAGCCATAACCAATTGGCTGTAGACTGACTACCATGCGGGCCTCTATGCCGAGCCCTCGTACTAAAGCGGTGAACAATTGCTCTCCCAAGTCCCTGCTCCCCTCACATTTACGAGCTCTGTCGCGAAATGCTTCTAAGTTCTCCACTCGCTCGCCAAAAGTGTCGGGATGATCGGGATCCTCCCTCCAGGTATTGATCTCGGCTTCTAGCGTCGATGGCGAGAGGTAGCCGCGTTTGCGTAGGCTCGGAGATGTGACTTGGAACTTGGACTTCCAATACGCAGAGAGATATTTGAGGAGGCGAAGCAGAGGATCCCCAGCTGACATGTTTGGGGCTTTCGGCTCGAGTGGTTCAGATGTCGCGTTCCAATCGCGACCTTTCTTGGCGCCTTTGACGTCGCCCTTGCCCTTGTCCTTGCCTACGGGAGCTTTCTTCTTGTCTTCGCGAGCAGATGATCGCTTCTGCGGGCTTTCGTACACTTTGACGCCGTTCTTTCCGCTGTTCTTCCATGTACCCTTCTTGTCTTTCGTCACCTGCTTGGGTGGAGGACTCGGCGCCCTCTGCACAACGACAAGACTGGGGCCGTCTGTGATACCGGCGTTATCCCAGTACCTCTCCAGTTCGCGCCAGCAGCCGGACGACATGCCTTCCACTAGTATCTTCTGCACTTCCTTGTCTTGTATCCAAGCGTTTCTCATGAGATTGTGGTACATCAGGCACTGTACGTGCATACAATGTGTGACATTTCGTATTTGCCGCTGTATCTTGGATGCGCCCTTCTGTCCTTCCGATTTCGAGTCGAAGGCGGTCTTTGGCGCGGCGGACAGGGTGAGGGCGATGTCGCCAGTGATGACGGGTGCAGGACCATGGTCTGGTTTATTGTTATTCTGCGCACCAAGCGCGTCTTCCCAATTGTCGGCTTCGCTGTCCTCGCTATCACCACCAGCTGCCGCCTTTCCTTTTCCTTTGCCTTTGTCTGCGCCGTTCAGCGGAACATCTTCGAAATCATCTTCGCTGCTCTCCGGTTCTGACAACTCGCTGTCGTCATCTTCTTGTTCCAGGAGAGCCTTGGTCTGGGCTAGCGTGAGCTTGGCCTTTGGCGGTGCGTCGAGGGTTTCGAAGACGGACTCTTTGCCTTTCCGAGTGGGTGCAGTAGCTTTGCGAGCGCGCGCACGCTTCGGTGGCGGTTCTGTTTGCGGTGAGGCGGATCGCGAGCGCTTTCGGGAGAGGATGGGCGGCATACTGATGCCTGGTTGTCGTTAACGCGATCGTGACATAGGGACAGGCGTGGTGCGACTTGTTTGTAAGGGTTGAGGCTAGATGGCTGGAATGATGACGCACTTTCCCCTGTTGGAATTCCGATCTGGCGGGACGATCTCGTGCAAGGACCCACAGTCGCGTGGCGCCTTTTCGCGCGGTCACGAGCGTCTCACGTCACATCAGGCACATTGTCCAAAGTCCCTGCATTGACATTCTGCTACTCCAGCCCCGAGCCAATTTATCCCGTGCATCATAATTGCTTATTTGCTAGCCCCAATCAAGACTGGTCTAGCCTACGAGTCTCGTGGAAGCCAATAACTCTTCTCAGACCTTCTTCCAAAGTATCTCTATCCATTGAGAAAAGAAAGCGGAAATTGCCTGGCTTTTCATCATGATATGCGTGGCCGGCCGACATCTCTACGCCGTGATCATACAGCGCCTGTCTCAGTTCATCTTCACCCTGCCACGTCGCGCTCCGTAAACACGCCGAGAGATCGATCCAGAGGAAAAACCCAGCGTTACTAGGTCACATGGTCCTGTCAGTGACTCCTGCCATGCAACAGCTCGAAAACGCTGGGGTGTACTTACGCTTGCTTGTTATAGCGAATTCCAGCTTTGTCAAGTCCCTTGGTGACAAGCTCTTGGTGTTCACCCAGCACCCTTGCACTCTCGGCTAGAAATTGGTTGTGCCATTCGTCGTCCTCAAGTATAGTGGTGGCTATAGCGTCTGTGACTGGCGATGCGCCATGGAAACGTCTGCGCCAAGCAGACAAATTAGCATTCGTAGCTGTACCTGGGTGTTCAAGCAGACGTACGCTAGAGACTGCACAGCTTGACCCAATTCTTCGTTTCGGGTGACTAGACATCCTAGTCTCAGACCGGCAGCGGCGAAATCCTACCAAGGCATCAGTTGCAAGTTGTTTCTCGAACTGAAGTGGCCTGACCTTTGACATCCCGTACATCACATGGACAAGCTTATCATCAATGATGCCACTCATGTCAACAGAGAGTACTGATGTAAAGCCTGGATGAGAATCATCCGTTCGATACACTGACTGAGCATAGATTTCATCGCTGATCAGATGTATCTTATGCTTTGCACAGAATCGTAGTATAGCCTCGAGAGCTTTGTGAGTATAGCACTGCCCTGGAAAGATGAGTCAGTTCGACGGTCCTTTACGAGGGTGCATGGTACGCGCCAAGAGGATTGTGCGGGTTGGAAATGACAAGTGCCTTCACGTCAATTCCGTTTCGGCCCGCTTCTTCAAGGGCGCGCTCGTAACATTCGACCGCTCCGGTAATGAACTGATCCACGCCATGGAATGGGGTGTAAACCAACTTGCAGCTGTACTAAGTTCAGTGGCTGCTGGACCCATTTACTCACACGTCGAGACTCACTTCGACATGCTTCGCATATCTGGGTTGAAAGAGCCATATATCGGCATGCCAAGGAGCAAACCTTCATTCTCTCCGTCCGTCAAACATAGTGACAGAATATCATTCAATGCCGTCACACCGCTGACAAAGGATACTTCATCCATCGCCACAGCTGATGCGGGCAAGAAGCGCTTGTTGATAAAAGTAGCCATTGCTTGTCGTAAGCGTTTAGAGCCGAACGGGCCGTCATGATAGGTCAAGGTGTCGAGTTCAAACGAAGGAACGCACTACACAATATGTTAAGTGAGAGCCTCTTGTTCAAGTGCAAAGACCAACCTTGGTCTTCACGTAGTCGAGCACTTTTCCACGCATGAGAAACTATTCGGTACATTAGCTCTGATAGTCAAAGTATGACAACCATGATGATCGAGTCTTGCTTACGTTTTCCGCATTTCTAAAGGACACTAAACCTGCTGGATTCTCGATTTTGTCGTAGGGGAGGCCACGATCTTTCGTGTAGCTTGCAGCCAGATCTAAAGCCGCATAATTGCGGCCACGTAAAGAAAGCATATTCTTGTAAGGGTGAGTCTCAGGTTTCTAGGCACCTGATCGCAAGAGGCGTCGGTTCATGAAGCAATGGCGCATCTGAAGCTCTGATTCGCAATGCGGGGCAGCTGTCGCATGCATGCCAGCTTTACTTGTGAGCTACTCAACAAGGTACCTACCAAAGTGGTCAAGTGCATGATAGGCTGTGAGTCATATAAAAGGCGCAGCAGGCGGGCATGGTAGCACCGAGTTACAATAGGATGCTCTTTGGACGAGCCTTGCTTGCGGATATTGTCTCGACTGCTGCCTGGGAGGCCGCCCGCCTTGAACAGGGTGGAACGCCTCAACGAACGATTGGACATGAGATGTGCGCGAAGAATGCAGTATCCGCTGCCAGTTTCCAAAAGGGATAAACGCCAGATGAGACTCATCAACCTGCGATATGAATAGTACCAACACCGGCTGCAGTGGTTGCCTTGTTGCGTTGACGACGTGTGGCGTGTTGTGCTGAGGGCTGACCTGGAGGTGTCGCGCCGTTATATATCGAGTGCGCATCCTCAACCTCAGGGTATCCATCTGAACCTTCTTGAGATGTTATCACTTTTTGTGATGGTGTTCAACGTCTTTCATATCTACGAGGGCGCACTTAGTTGCCGCCTGCTTCTACGAGAGCCACTAAGCGACAAGACCAACAAGAAGATACTAGCACTTGCCGAGCTAGAAGAAAAGAAACGATGCGTGAAAGGAGGTGGAAGGTGCGGGTGAACAAACATTGGGCAAGTGCTGTGAGTTTCGCGCGTTCCCGCGCGATGACGCACGTGCACGTGACGAAACTCGACGGAAGGTCTGCGGTAAACCTCAGCTCGAGGTGTCTGTTGCTATTGATTCACAACGCTAAATTCTGGATAAATCGACAGATGGTCACATATCTTGCCGTCGACGACGTTTCGATGATTTGCACAGTACCAAAGTCACGAGTGTAGGGAGTTGAGCCGGGCACAACCCCTCACCAAGTCTCAAAATGGTATGGCGCAGGTACCCCGTCGGATTGATCGCTGCACGGCGCCGTCGCTCGTCCCTTCGTCACAACCACAATTGCACGTCGCATCGCATCAAGAGTGCACTTTCATCGCTGCTAACCCAACAACCTGACCAAATCGCCGCCAAAGACGCAGCGAAACCGCCAGAATGCTGCTCGACACCTACATCATCAACATAGCCACACCTGCCCGTGACCTGTGGCTCCTCAGGCAGCCGGCCTCCCTCCCCAGTCCTCTGCCCTTAGCATGCATCGGCTGCGATTGACCTTACGCCCTCTTCTCTACTTTTTTCTCACCTGGTTGCTACTCTTCACCATAGTGTACCAACCTTGTTACAGTCTGATCTTGCGTACTGTTGACGTTCTCACACTCTAGTTCCATCATTCTCGTCGGTCCCACATCTTCCTGTCCTTAGGCATCCAGATACACACCGGAGCATGTACCCGCTGCTACTCTTCACAGTAATTATTACTGTCCTCTCCGGTCCGGTGGAAGCGTCAAACCCGTTTGCAGACCTCATCGTGTCTGACACTCCTATGGACGGAACCTACTCCGACATCGACGGCGTGCTGTGCCAGCTTTGCTGCCTGCCCTTGTACCAATGCTTTCACGGGCACATGGTAGGATCCTGAGTCCCTTCTCTATGGCGCATGCTAACAGTTTCATTCAGAACCCATATGGCGCAGCGAGCCCTTTCTACGTAGACCCCAGTGTCTTGCACATGCCGCCGCTCGGCTTCGATCGTACGCAACCAGACCTAGCACCGATATACGACTTTGTCAACGAGGGGCAGCCCTTGCTCAGAGAGCACGTCCAAGTCATGGATGCGAACGAGACCATGGTGCAGCCAGCCACTGTGCAAGCGCATGTTGAAGATACCTATAACCCTGGTGATCGCTTAGCGACACCACGCAATCGGAAGCGACAACCACCTCGCCCGGGTGGTTTCCATTGCGACAAGGACGGCTGCAGTAAGACTTTCAACCGTCAATGTGATTTGAAGTAAGTCCTACCACTGGATCAAGTGTACTGGATTGTCGGCTTACCGTTGTAGTCGCCATCAGAAGAAACATTCGACCGATAAGCCTCACGTGTGCTCGAAATGTCCCATGAGCTTCGACTATCCGAAAGATTTGCGGAGACATCTACCACAACATAATGACCCTTCTTTCGCAACGGACAAATACCTCTGCCCACATCCCGGCTGTGGTAACCTCGACGGCTTTTCTCGCAGGGACAACCTCCTGCGACACCAACGAAGGCAGCACCCTGCACGTTAGGTATTGCATCGCTACATGAGTCCTCATGATCATTCATTCTTCTTCCATATCTATTGTATCACCACAAAACTGGGTTTAAAGGGGTACTGGCGTTTGTATACATGTTTCCTTGGCTGTTGGCAATACCCTTCCCCCTGATTTCATAGCAAGCGCTGCTCATGACTCCTGTGGCCACGCGCTTTACTTCATCGTCACTCAAACGTTACGTGTTTCTTTCTCTGTCTAACACAAAAATGGTGGTATATACATATATCTTGATAGTATCTGTTACATGATCAATCTCTATCTCGCAGTGGGAAAGGAAGCTGGTACATTAGAGTCAACGTCGACACTGCAATAAACATCTGCTTCATATCCCAATCGCTTGGCATGTTTGCTTAAAATTTTGTGTCTCCGCGAATTGTTTGAGAGGTCGAAGTTTCTGAAGGTCAAGAAGATGATGATATGCTACTCTACCCCACAAACTCCAAAATACATGGTCTACTGACCAAAGACCAGGCGTAAATCAATGAGATATTGTCCAGAGTTTATGGGTCTAGATATCTCTCTGCAGCACTGCGCCACTAGATATTCTGTGCGCCCGATCTATCCGGAAACTCAATCTGCTTCAACAAGTCTTGTGCCGCCGCTCGAACGCCGTCTTGGCTCACAAAGTGCATGTCCGGCAACACTTCCCACTTCGCGCCCCAGACTAGGAAAGAAGGGAGCGGATATTCGATCTTGATCCACTCTACTTCCTCTCCTCCCGTTACCAAACATCCACGAACCCGCACTGGCGCGAGCTCGCCTTCGCCCGGCGACCACGTATGATGGATAGGAAATAGCGCATGGAGGTTGTATCCGCCCGTTCCCGTCGGATTGCCTGCGCGCACTAAATTCAGTGTACGTAAGAATCCTACTGCGTCGCGGAAGATACCAAGCTGCTCGTTCTCGGGCGAGAACATGGAGGGCGTGATGGGTGGACCGCGTTGGCAGAAGATTGCGGTGATGTAGTTTCGTAACGGTGAACCAGCGGGTGTGTTTTCATACACCCATCTGACCGTGTCTAGACGACAGATGAAGTACTTCGGTTGCATCAGCGCCATACCCAACCTCAACACCGTATTCTGAGTCCTCCAGATTCCGAGTTCGCCGGCCAATATCTAAGACGTGGGTGCAACAAGTCAGTGAACGTCCCATGTCCGATTCGTACATGAACATATCTTACCCACAGTTTCATCAGGTCTAACAATTTCGCGTCGGTTGTGTAGTCAGGGGGTTGGCGCTCGTATAGCCATTTGAAGAGGGTTCGGAAGGTATCAGGTTCAGCGTTGGGGAGATGGATGTCGCTTAGTATGATGCGGGGCAGGCCGTTGGGCATAGTGAATAAAGGGGAGACTTTTGAGAGGAGCGAGTGGTGTACGTCGAATCGTGTTGGATTGGCCTTGGGGCCGACAACGAAGGTTATGGGTACGCCGACGCCTTGGTAGGCCGTATAGGGGGGCAGGGCCATATTCGAACAAACGAGGTAGGGGTTACTTTTGGAAGGCTGGGAAGGCCCGTTGGACTTTTATCTTTTCGTAGTCGGATGTATCTGAATGGTCTGAGTGTTTGCTCATTGTTAACCGAGGCACTCTTTAAGAAAGAAGGAGGTGGATTGATACAGTTTGGGATAAGGCAACAGCTTATCTAAGAACATAGTGAAAGACTGTCTCGGTAACGTGATTGTAATCCACACACAAAGCTTCCACACACGGCTACACAGTACTAGAATTCTGCGTTGTCTTAGAGCTTGGCCCGCAATTGCTATTCAGCTGGAAGCGTATTTGACGAGAAAAGTTCTGATTGAAGGCTCGGTTGATATCAACATGGTCCTTTTACCTAGTGGTTACTCTAGTTATGCAGTACCTAGGAGGTATTCGCTATTTTCTACGTTGAGGCAGGACGAGACAAAGTTGCGTGTATATCTCTGGGGCGTAGTATGTAAGTACGGTACAACTTAGGGGGCTACGATGTAGTGTACAGAGACAGACTTTAAATTAACGCAGGACGAGACAAAGTGTAATGCATATCTCTAGGGTATAGATGTAAGTAGAAAGTAGTTCGTGACACAAGGTTGTAGTCTACAAAGATAAACTTCAGATTGTAGGGTCTCCTATACACATCGTTCTATTAGACTGCATTATAATGTTGTTAACAATCGCGCCTCCAGCCGCTTATGAGATATGCTACCCAATGACAAAGATCTCGTCCGGTCCAAGTCGGGCTGCTTCTTGCTCATGTATCTTCATAAGATGAGGAACAAATGCGACGCCGCAGAACTCAGCAGGACCGTCTCCATGGAGTGCGCCGGTTTCTTGCTCGGGTTCTGGCCACCGTAGTATATGGAGGGGGCGTTCGCTGTAAAAGACACAGACCTTGTCACCGGGCTTGCATCCTGGCGTGGCGACACCGAAGCGGCCACCGGTGGTACTGAAGAAAGAATGACCGGCAATATGATGCAATCTGTTTGCCCAGAGACTCGCCCGCGATTGCCGCTCAGCTGGAAGTTCTCTCAGATAATCGAGACTTCCGTCTCTGAATGTGTCCCATCCGTCCTTGTAAGCAGTCGCTGCTTCTCTGGAGACCCTCGTATCCATCAGTAGAGCCATCAGATACTCCAAAGGTACTCTGTCGGTATCGTCTTCTGCGCCGTGAGCCGTTCGACAAGCCAGTTGAAGGCTACGGGTACAGACATCCACATTTGCCGCATGCACAGGATTGCTCATCTTGCGCGCTGGCATATCTGCGCTCAATACGTGTTCGTAACACCCCCGCAGCTCTTGATTATCAACAACCTCTGATACTGTATCCAAAAGATGACCGCAAGTGTGCAGGTAATCAGTCTCATTCCCAAATGAGATGAAATTGCGAGATACAAATGGGATATCCAGCAGCCCCGGGTCACTACATTGCTGCGCTCGAACCTCTTCGTCTACAACCTCGTGTAGAAGTTGTTGATACTCGTTTCCGCTTACACGATTGGCCCAAGCACCTCCGATCGAGAGCACACACGCTGGAACCCCCTCCAGAGCCGGGCACCAAGACGGGGATGATTGCGGCCTTCCCTCAATTGTGGGCGGCATTCTCAGTAGACACAGCGTTTGCTCTGCGGCTATGATCGTCCTCGCGAACCGCATATGCGTTTTCCAGAAGTCAACCCGAGCGTTTTCGCAGTAATCAACTTCTGGCTCTAATTTGTATCTGAGATGATAGCTCAACAACCCGGTGACTGCCCATGCTCGATCCACCGGCTCCCTTACATGTCGGTCGCGTAGCGCATGGAGAAGGTAGGGTATGTTATAGATCGGTACCGCTCCGTTTGACAAAACGTCCTTGCGGCACCTCCTCAAGGTTAGCAGCTGCTCTCCAGATCCTCCTAAGCCCTCCATCATCTTGACAAGCCGCGGCCAGGAGTACATGTATGCCTCTGCTCTAAGCCACCCTTCACAGAAGAATTCAAGAAACTCTTCAAATTTTAACCAAAGAGGTCCTAGCAGCATGATCGGCTGTCTTGCAAGAACTGCCTCTTGAAAGGTCCATAGACGTTTAAACCACTCGTGCTCGCCAATTTGTATCATACCAAGCCAGAAAGGCTCGTGTGTATGGAATAAATCCGGTCTGAGAACCGAGGGTTGAAGACCCTGATCGAGCATTGAATTCCACTCCCTTTCCATTTGCAATACGCTGGAGAACCCGAGCATAAAATGCTCACTCTGCGCCGTGGGAAGGCCCATCCATATGACGACAAACGCGGCGAGCGAGTAGATTCGATGCATCAACGGTATCTGTACCTCCTTCTCTTCGGAGTCTTGCTGGTTGATGCATATAGAGTCCAGCCAATACGAGCGATAAGGGTATAGGTGCTGAAGCATCTCGTAAACAGTGGGAGTAACTGTAAGGTTTCCTCCGTTGCAAGGGATGTTGATAGAAGCTTCTGCTGCTCCCCAGACATAGGAGACCGCGTCGTATTCGAGGTCATCTTGAAACTTGTGCGGGGTAACGGTCAGCCGCAAAGTATCCGTGTCGCGAACGATGGTGAGGAGTCGGATTTGATCAGGCTGAAGTAGCCGTTCGCAATACGGTGATGAGGTATCTGCGCTATCGCAGGACTCGTCGGGTTCTTCCAATGCGCGCTCTCCAAAGTTTGCTTCCAGGCTGTCAAGTGCCATTTAGGAGTTGGTCTTCGCCGTTGCGCAATGTTTGTAAGCTGCTGGGAGGATGGTTGATGAAAAGCGGGGGCGCGAAGCTCAAGTAGCCCGCCACGGCTGACAGCACGAAGGATGGGGGCTGAATGTGGCTGCCTTGCCGACCTGAGCGCACGACGCGGTGCGCAGCAAGCCACTCATGTATCAGCCCGGGGATGCCCAATCCTGTCCACTATCGTAATCATGAAAGGATGTTAGACGCATGTACATGCGCCCATTGAGTGAAGCATTACAGCGGGCTTGAAGTAGTAGGGACGCGCCCGTGGACTAGGAGGCCGACGAATTAGGCTAAAGCCAAACTTGACGACGTCACCTGACACATGGAAGAACTTAACAGATGCGATGCAGACTACATTATTATACATAACGATATTTGGCAAAGTTTCAACGCAATGTAGACTTCTAGGTGATCGAATCTGGGTAAATGTGCAATCTGTTCCTTTGGTATGATGCTGTAATAGATCTGAAAATTGGAGCGCATTCACGTCCCGCCCAGCGCATGGAGAGGCTGGGAGTGCTCGTCATTGTTGCGCCAACATATTGATACGCTTTGATTCATGTATTCGTGGGAAGACCAGTTGTCTTATGGATGTGATTATCATGGCCAGTTTTCATTTGGCGCCCCGTGCAGCTTGAAGTAACCCGGCTGCAGCTTCTGGAAAACCTCAGTAGGGTCGTACTTGCGCGCGATAGCCCGCAGCTTGTTTGCGCTTTCCCCATAGCTCTCAACGACATTCTGAAACTGGCTGGCGTAGTTCATGTAGATGTAGTCGTTGACCATATCCCTGCGCTTTGCCTCGGCCTCCATTTTCCTAACGATGTTTGCGTTCGCCTTCAACACCCGCTCGTCGTCCTCCTTGTTTTTCCAGCGGCTACTCAAGTTTATGAGGAGAATTGGACCGTCGGAAGGCACAAGGCCCAGTGCGTTCCCGCCCTTCTTCTGCATTTGCGTGAGCTGCGCGACGGTGATGACCTGAAAGGTGTTTGCAGGCACGATACCGGCCACGTCTTGGATCTTCTCGAACTCTTCAAAGGTGGCGTCGAACATGAACTCTACCATTCCGTAGTCTAGTTTGGATGAAGCAGTCCAGAATGAGTCTCGGTAACCTTTGGGATTGCTGTCGTTCAGCATTTGCGTGAAGTTGGCAAGCGTGTTCAATTGTAAGGTGTCCTGGAAGGCAGGGACTGCGCGGTACTCATCGAAGACTGGAGCGTCAAGAACCGGATCAGAGTACTCCAGCTCGGCAACCGCGATCTTGGTGTTCGAAGCGGCATCCAGGAAGATGGCCAAGAATTGAGCAGCTTTTGGATCAGCCTTTCTGTTCGACCCCAAGTTCACGAAGGCATCGATCGCAGCAGGGAAGCTTTCCTCAAAGAACCTTCTCTGCCCCCCAAGCATCAACGGGCCGTGGGCGAAAGTTTCGAGATTGAAGGTCGTGACGATGCCGACATTGTTGCCGCCACCTCTCAATGCCCAGTACAGGTCTGGGTAGGACTTCGGACTAGCTTGTACAATGCGACCTGAAGCGGTAACGACCTCGAAAGACGCAACATTATCGCATGCCCAGCCGTATTCGTTAGAGAAGAACGAGATGCCGCCTCCTGTTGTGAGACCTCCGACACCGATAGCAGAGACGCGGCCACCTATCACCGCAAGGTTGTCCTCGGCAAGAGTCGAATAGATGTCGTACCAGAGGCTACCGGGTCCAATCGCAGCAACCTTCTTGTCTTTCGACAGGGTGATATCCTTCATGCGCTCGAAGATAACAGTGATGCCACCATCATTGCTCGATGCTCCAGTGAATGCTGCATGCCCTCCACTTCGTACTGCAAAAGGGCATTGGGTGAGACGCGACAGCAAAACGAGAGTAGACACATCGCGTGCTTCCTCGGGTTTGAAGACGCAATACGGCTGTGCTTCGCGCTGTTGCTGTGACCAGAAGTAGTTCACAGCTACGCCGTAGCCTGTCTCTTCTTGAGTCTCGACCTTCGCATCACCAAAGATGCGCTTAAGAGAGCTACACTAAAGTCGTGATTAGTACCATACCTGGAAAGAGATAACGTGAGAAGGTAGGTGAGACTTACAGCAACCGAACATGAGCCTGAGCTGGTTCGCTTGGATAGGTCGGCTGGGTCAGGAATATCGGAGACGTTTACACCATTGTCCAATAATGCAGCAGTAACATCAAAGTCGGGTGACTCGAATGTCTGTTGTGCAAGTAGTACGCTTGGGAAGGAGCCCAGGAGAAGAAATTGACTGAATCGCATCATGGCTGGATGTCAAATGCCCAAGAAACAGGTGCGACAAACAACAACCCCACAGCACGACTCGGGGGCACTTTCTTATAACATCCTGCATTCCTTTGCCACGAGTAAAGAGCGCATGAGCCCGCCAGTCTGGTGCAGCCGGGCGTAATCCCGGGCAGTGGCGAGCTGTGAGGCAGGGTGGGGACCTTCCTAGCAACACCATGGCTTGTCTAGATAGAAAGTTCGCAGCTGGTCAAGATTTAGTCAAGATGCCAGTCGAGTAATGTACGATGGTACCTAGGTTGTGGCGGCCACTACATGAGTAGTTTCCTAGACCAGCACGATGGGGATCTGGGGCTATCCTCAAATGGGCCTAAGCCGTCTCCCCAAGTACGCGTGCGCCCGCCACGATTGTGAACTGCAACTCAGATCGCCTATAACGTCTCGTGGGAGCTTAAACACTTGCTGCATCTTCACACTAATTCGCGTCAGTAGACAATTCTTCAGCTGCTGTTAGTTCTCATGGCGTCTTGACGCAGCGGAAAAACATAGCCGTCGTTGCATGCGCAGAAATGTCCGATCGGTGAGCTTCATGCAATAAGTGGGTTGCATATATTAGCTGTAACAGTATTCTCGCTTACGAGAGATTCGTGGGTTGACATTGCGTCTTGAAGATGAGGGCGAAGAGGTCGTTGTTCCTGGGCTGATGAGGGGAGCGGCTCCGAAGGCCGGACCAGGAAAGCGGAGTGAGGCGTGGGTCAACACTAAGCTTGAACTAGCAACGGCAGCCCCACTGCTCGCCTTCGCTTTCTTATCGCCTTTTGAAGTTTACCGTCTCGCTACCTATGCTTTTTGCGAAGCTCTTGTTACCATAATCGACTAAGTCATGGCGGCAATGGCCGGCGCCGTGGACCCCCCATGGCCTCGCTCCTTCCGTCTGAAGCCAAAGCCCAATGGCTCGCGGGTACTGTTCAGCCACGATTGTTTCCAGGGTCCGCAAGATCTACCCCCTGAGGTTCTTTACAGCGACAACTTGACCAAATCCGAACAATTGGCGCGCGACTTTCTCGATGAGCCTGTCGTGGGCTTTGACATGGAATGGGTTTGGCCAGAGACAGAAGTTCTCAAGGGAAGAGTTGCGCTCATCCAGGTTGCGAGCGAGAGCAAAATAGCCTTGTTTCACATCGGACGTCATGACGGAGATGCAGCCGATCAGCTCATTGCGCCGTCGTTGCGCACGCTCATCGAGAGCCCCACTGTACTGAAGACTGGCCAATCTATCATGGGAGATTTCTACCGACTCAACAAGTACTTCCAACTACAACCGAAGGGCGCGATCGAGCTGAGCTACTTCCAAGTGTTGGTCAATCCGGGCAGGCCAAACTTTAATTCTTCCTATTATCCAGGAGGTCTCAGAGGTCTGGTCGAGAAGTACTTCCCGGGATACACGTTGAAGAAAACTGAGCACATGCACAAAGATTGGCTGGCGCCGCTTGAAACAAACCAAGAGCTTATACAGTACGCCGTTGCAGATGCATATGCAGGACTTATGATCTACCATCGGCTGAATGCGTTACGACTGCACATGCAGCCTTGTCCGCCCTTACCAGCACGGGTAGAAGAAACTAGGGCTTACAAAGAATACACTTCGGGTGTTTTTCCTGAGCCCAAGCCAATTTACTTGCAGTCCATCCACCCGCATGGCTCAAGTCGACAAGCTAGTTGGTTCTTTTCGATGGAGGAAGATGATGAGGTGGCGACGGAACTTGATACTGATTCGGGAGCGTTGTACGATCGGCTGGTAGAGCTTCGTCAGAAGATAGCGAATGAGGAGGAGATACAACCTGGAGAGCTCACTACTGACTGTACACTTCGACATATTGCCTCGACCCGGATTGCGACAACGGACGAGTGCATAAAACTACGCGGGATCTTTCCACAGCTTCGCAAAATATTAGCCAGAGAGTATGCTAAAGTGGTGAATACTTTCCAAGAGGAGATCCAAAGTGCAGCGGTAAACCAGCAATCTGAAGATGAATCTCCACAAGTTGGTGAAGATACCAAAGGCACTTGCTCAGATCCCCCCCAGATTCCAGCGGAAGAGACCGGGCAGGCACATACTGGACTTTCATTCTCCATGGCAGAAACTGGAATCGCTACGGACGAGCATACCGGCGGTGATACCGAGCCTGAGAGCGATGCCGACGAAGCGAGTGATATCTCAGCAATTCATCCCTCAGCTAGTGTTGAACAAGATCAAGACACCGACAACCATAAGGATGATGCACCGTTAAAGCGAAAGCGTTCAAAGAGCCCACAAATCGGTCGGCAACCCCCCGCGAAGAGCTCCTAGACGCTTTGCCGTGGACAAATATACATCCGATGGCGCAGTGGTATGGCTTTGGTCACTTAGCGACTGCGTTCCGCCCGATACGAGAAAACAGATGAACTTCTACCTCTTAGACGTCTACACTGCCTTAAGGGTTTTGTCAGCTTAGGGTTCAGTATCAGTGTAGACTGCAGCGCATCTGTTAGGCTTTCCCTTGCACGAGGTGCATCGGGGATTGACCAGAACATGACCGGGTCTAAGTAGAGAGGGGCTTGTATACATGCGGGAGCGGGCCCAGGTCATGTTAGAAAGTCAGCTTGTACGAGAGGAGGCAGAGAAAGGGACGCCCCGCAGCATACGGCCGAAGCAACGCAGATCAGGGACCAACGGAGAGTAACTCTTGGCGCATGTATACTCATTGAATGACGGCTAGTTTTGCTTACTCGCGTTGGTTGGACTGAGTAGGTGCAGTCGTCAAAAGAGTGCACGAGGCTGCCTGCTTGGCTCGCGCATTAGGCGTGCCTAACTAATGCAAGGCGTAAGCTGTGTATTGTACAAACCCCGCGCCCGTCCACAGCTCTTCTTCAAGTTCTCAAAACAAGCCTCTGATTTTATCTACCTTACCTTCAAGTGCAAGCTGCCTCCGGACCCAATTAAAGATGCCGATCCACTCGTCAACATGGAAGGAGTACAGCAAGATGGACGCCGAGTTGGAAGCCGTGCGAACCATCAACAAGTCCATACACGCACTTCGCTAACAGAGTAAGCTGCTACCCAATCTACCACCGAGCAAGTCTTTCGAAGACTACTCATCGGCTGTCGAATTGCGTCAGTCTTTCAATGAGCAAATCGCTCAGCTGATCGCAGCTGGTATTGTGACTTTCCCAGACTGGACCGGGTACCACAAATCCGAAATACAGATCCCCACGCGCGATGGCGCATCGATGCGTTCGCTGGTGTACCATCCAGAGGGCAAAGAGACAGGGCCATTGTATGTGTACTTCCACGGCGGAGGATGGAGTTTTGGGATGCCGGAGTATGGCGAGGGCATGGCGGAAGTATTGGTAAAAGGGTTGGGCTTTACGGTCGTAAGCGTTGGGTATAGGTATGGGCCTGAACACGTCTTTCCTACTGCCGCGCATGATGCTATCGATGCGGTCCAATGGGTGAGTCCATGCACAGTCATTTCTTCTAATTCCAAGAGACTGATTTGCACATCTTCAGTGTGCCGAATACGCAGCTTCGTTGGGCGCCGACCTATCCAAAGGCTTCATCGTAGGAGGGACGTCAGCTGGAGGCAATCTGGCAGCTGTAGCAGCTCATCAAGTTGTTGACGACAACTTGTCTCCGAAGGTGACTGGCGTTGTCCTCCTGTCTGCCCCGTTGTGTCATCGCGAAGCCATGCCAGAAGAGTACAAACCCCACATATCCAGCTGGGAAGACCACAAGGACGGCCTGGTACTGAGCCGACAAGCCATTGAATGGTTCTATGGCAACTACAAACCAGATCCTATGTCACCGTTGATGAGTCCGTTGATCTGGAAGACCCATAAAGGCCAACCCGCTACGTATCTGCAGGTCATGGGGTGAGTGCAATGTGTCGTGGATGCTGAACAGTGCTGACGGGCGTAGGACTGATCCACTTCGTGATGAAGCGCTCGTGTACGAAAGTCTCCTTCAGGACGCCGGCACACCGACCAAGATGGAGGTTTACACTGGGTTGCCACATGGCGCACCCGACTTCTTTCCCATGCACAGCGCTGCGAAGAAGGCATTGGTGGATCTGAAGGAAGGTGTGAGTTGGATCATGCAGCAGAGCTCGGGTTGATACAGAGCGAAGGATGTGTGCTAGAACATAGTAGATGCTAGACAATTAATCGATGAGGTTCGCGTCTAATGGCTAGATCTCACGTAATGATAGCACATGTGAAGAGACAGCCCTACTGACCGTTGCTGCCCTAGGGGCTCGCTTAGGGGCGGGACCCTGCTTGGACGCAGGTGGCCTGCACGCGTTATGGCTCCGTCATAGCGCGCCTTTCTTCTTTCACCCCAAGACACACGATACGGGACATCGTACGCCCGCACACACGACGGGCGACGTCCTGCACCGCAGGCAGAGAGCGCCAAGATGTCGAACCATCCGCGGTCAAGCCCCGCCGCCGCGAGGCCTGGCACTCCACGCGGGGCGCGACAAACAAACAGCGACGCGAACCTCCTTTCACACCCGCTCAAACGCCTGTCCCTGCACTCGGCCTCCAACACCCCGCTACCGCAGTCCCCCGCCCTAAACTCGCCCAGAAGTTCCGCTGACCTGCGCCGGACGCCCTCGACGCCCAACTTCAAAGCGAATGCCATCCAGCGCAGTCCCAGTGTAGCCAGTTTCCGCTCCTCTACGCCCACCCTGGGCAGGAAGACCTCGACCTCTTCCCTCCGCGGCGACCCTCCCCGACCGGGCACTCCCCGAAGTTCCGCTTCCCGCCGGTCGTCGTTCAACCCCAATATGCAAGCACCCATGCCCAAGAGCCCGCTGGGCCCCACACACGTAGAAGAAAAGCCACCACTGCGCGCATGTGATGTCGCCGATGAGTACTTCAAGAAGGAGCTGGCCCGACATGAGGGCATGGCAGGCGCAGTCAATGCAGGAACTGTCGTCATTGTGCACGACCAATGCTACGGCCATCGCTTCTCACGTCCCAAGACATCCAAGAGCCACCTCAGCTTGATCATGGAGCGACCCGAGCGAATACTGGCGAGCGTTTTGGGCATATCGGCAGCCTACGTACGGCTCGGCGAGCGCCACGCTGAGGGAGACAACCCGCCACATCCACACCACAACCCACCCGAACGCGTACCTTTCAAGATTCGCAAGACTTCGCGCGCTGTCGATATCACTTCGCAGGTCGTCACAAACGTACACGGGACGAAATGGATGGGCGAACTCAAAACACTGTGCGACAATGCTGAACGGAAGCTTGCATCAACTGGGAAGGAGCTGGCCAGGGACGCTCCCGCAGTCCAAGGACAAGCGCCCAAGCAGCAACTCCACGCTGGTGACCTTTACCTCTGTCCCGAATCGCTCAACGCTTTTCAGGGTGCTCTGGGGGGTGTCTTGGACGCCGTGGACGCTGTCTTCCAGGGAACAAGTCTAGGCGGTGGCCCTTCAAGAGCTTTCGTCTGCATCCGTCCGCCTGGCCACCACTGCTCTGACGACTTTCCCTCGGGTTTTTGCTGGCTGAATAACGTTCACGTTGGCATTGAACACGCTATTATGACATATGGGCTCACTCACGCAGCCATCATTGACTTTGATCTGCACCACGGAGACGGCTCGCAGGCCATAACATGGGCGCGTAACAAGAAGGTCCAGAACATGCCCAAAAACACACCCAACTGGAAGAAGACCTCGATCGGCTACTTCAGCTTACACGACATCAACTCATACCCATGTGAGGACGGCGACGATGACAAAGTCCAGGCGGCTAGTCTCTGTATCGACAACGCTCATGGTCAGTCCATCTGGAACGTCCATCTACAATCATGGAAGACGCCTGAGCAGTTCTGGGAAATCTACGAAGAAAAGTACTTGGTATTACTTGAGAAGACCCGTCAATATCTCAAACACCACACCAACCGCTTACGGTCCACGCCAAACCAGCCCGCTCCAAAGGCAGCCATCTTCCTGTCCGCTGGATTTGATGCGAGTGAGTGGGAGACTGCTGGAATGCAACGCCATAGCGTCAACGTGCCTACTGAATTCTACGCTCGTTTCACTCGGGATGTGGTCCGGTTGGCTGAAGAAGAGGGCACATCTGTGGAAGGGCGTGTCATCTCAGTCTTGGAGGGCGGATACAGCGATCGAGCGCTCACTAGTGGTGTATTCAGTCATTTGAGCGGCCTCGTTGATGGCCAAGTCTTGAAGGCCTCAGAACCATCAACGGGCCTCTCTCACTCTATGCGGAACAGACTTAGTGGAATCAGCATACAGGACGAAGACGTTCCCATGCAGTCTGTCGAAGCAGAGCTCACGCCCGTCAGCTACGATCCTCAATGGTGGCATACAGATCGTTTGTCCGAACTGGATGGTCTTGTTCCGCCCCCGCCCGTACATGTCTCGAAGACGACACGCACTGACCGTCTGGCCCATTTTTCTTCGCCCACCCAGTCCTACGTGGCCAAAGTCGTGGATCCAACCAAGATCAATCGGAGCCTTTCCGCCAAGTACGCCTCAAATCCATTGAGAGCGCCCACCCCACCACCACCGGAGGTTGACTGGGCTACTGCCGCCCATGCTCTGCGTACTTTGCTGGTACCATCGGATCGCCAAACTCGTAGCCACCGACCAGAGGATTTGGCCGAGGTGAAAGTCAAAAAGGAGAAGCCTGCTGCGTCTGCTGCCGCCCCAGCCCGCACAGATACGTCAGGGCGACAACTGCGCGGTCGTAAAGCCGCTCCCTCCTACGCTGAGCCTGGTTCGGACGACGAAAAGACATCTCGTGTAGAATCACGGGCGAGTAGGCGGCAGACCATAGCCGACTTTGCACCAGCCAGCTCAGAAGCTCCAGCTCCAGCAAGCTCTGCTTCTCGTCGCATGAGTATTGCTTCGAGCGTCTCTTCCATCGGCGACAACAGGGGCGTTAGTCGTGCGCCAAGTGTAGCAGCAAGCCGGAGAAGTGTTGCGCCTTCTGCAGCTCCAGCTAATGGAGTTGCGATGAAGAAGGCACGAGGCTCAACAACGACAGCAGCTGCAGCGGCTCGTGCGCCTCCACGTCCAGCCGTTGCGAGAATGCCTTCGACCCAATCTGTCAAACCCAGTGCCCCTAAAGACAAGGAGAATGATGGCATGGATGCACTTACTTCAGGCCTAAAGCGGGTTACGTTGAAGATGCCCTCAAAAGAGGAATATGATGCACGGGAGAGGGAGAAGGCTGAGAGGTTGAAGGCTGCCGAAGCACCGAAAAGAACTACTACCCGAAAGCCACCGGCTGCTCGCGCTCCTCCGGCAAAGCCTGTGACCAAACCTGCGACGACCGCAAAAAGGGGCCCAGGTCGTCCGGCAAAGACTTCCAAACCTGCATCCCCAGTTCCCGAGGCCCCGCAGATGCAGGTAGCTGCTGCTGCGCCGCTCGAACAGCCTCAGCCGGTACAGATGGATTCGTCTACTGTCTTGCCACAGCAAGAAATGCAAGCTTCCATGGAACAACCTCCCATTGATCGTCGAATCTCCGGTGGAATCGTGCAACCACCCACTGAGTTGCATGACATGGCTATAACACCCGAGCAAATCCGTGAACAGCTACCTATGGTAAGTTCTGACTACGTAATGCACATGAGACATATGCTAACTTCGCAGCCATCTTTCGTCACTGTAACAGAGCCGCTCAAGGATGTTTCACCACCTTCCCGCGCCGATACGCCTCCACCTCCACCCCCATCGAATCTTTCCGAGTTCGTCAACTACACTGCGCAGAATTTTGGCGGAAACTCGGAGTTCGTAACTCCGCACGACGCATCAGATCCTCAAGCCTCAGCAACTTTGCAGTGGGTTGCCAATACACATGCTGAGGATACAAGCATGCCTGGAGTTCCACTCATGTCACCGCCAAGCAAGAGGACTGATCTGCCTGTCTTCACATCAAACGGCGCGATACCATTCGCATCAAACTCGAACGGAGCCATGAACGCACCCTCTAGGCCAGAGGATGCAGGTGCCGCATTGAAGAAAGAGGAAAATGGAAGGGATATCTGGGACATACCCGATACGCCAGCTCGTTAGAGTACTTCAGCACTACAGCCCCTCCACTTGATTTTGTTCTGCTTTCATTCTTTGATCACGCGTACCGCGATGCGATACCGCGGTTGCGTTAATCAGTGGTTATTGCCGGCTTACGCAAGGCAGACTATACCTGACGTTTCCCAGCTTGGTGTTTATTGGTGGAGTTGATTTCACTTTAGCGAATCGGCGCGTGAGCCGTGACTATTTGGAGTTGTCTTTGTAGAATTTCTGTGGGGCAGATCGTCGATTGTAGCTCTACCTAGAACATGCGCATGTAGAAGATAGATACCCCCGGAGGCGAGTATGCGAAGGATTTAATGCGAAGTTTCTCATACTACACTTGTCTTTCAATTGTGTTCAATGGGTCCTTGCATCGTCTAAACAGCTTTCAATGTATCAGAGCCGAACCAACCCCGCGGGAGTGAAGTTCCAACACCACCCAAAGTACCAATACACCCCTCCCAAGATTGCCACAACCCCCAGGGTAGGAAACCCTGCCTAAGCGCCCGTCCGAATCCCGTACTCAGCGCCGGTGTAACTGCAGCCCCCGCAGGCCGCCGCCCAAGTACATGGTGTAGCATGTCAACATCGGTGTGGGCAGGCGCGGGAACCAATGATTAGCGTGCATTCCGTATCATGGGACAAGGTTTCGGTGCGGGGCAGCCAAAGCGCGACATGCGCATCATGCACGTCCAAGGGTCTTAGCTTACGGGGCGTGACGTACTTCTGGGTCGCGTCCTTGATTGCGATGGTTAGTTGGTTGCCTGGGAGGAGTGTGTGTAGGAGGATGAAACGTACACGGGGATGGGGGCAGCTGGAAGATGGGGGGCGAGTACTGTACTTATGGTGGCTGATCCGATGGAAAGGTTGATACGCTTCTCCTTCGCTCCTGCCTGTGCACCTTTTGACAGGACGCTTGGACGTGGTTTGTTTGCTGGGTCCCGGTACTTGATTAGGGCGAAGGCGTGGGCTAAGGTGCAAGTACCCGATTGACCATCGAACCTTCCACTCTACTCTTCGTTTGTTCAGCTTGTGCTACTTGTTTCTCTTCTTCC